CAGGGTCATGTGGCAAGCACTTTGTTTTCCAGATGATCTAACTTCATTTTGAGCAAGTATGGATTATTGTATTCATTTTTATTTAACATTCCCCTATTTTCCTGTAGTTTTGATTTTCTAACTTGCATGGGTGATAGGAACAGCCTTGGTGGTGCAGTGGTTAAAGCACTTAGCTGCTAACCAAATGGTTAGCACTTCAAACTCACCAGCCGCTCCATGGGAGAAAGATGTGGCGGTCTGCTTCTGTAAAGATTACAGCCTAGGAAACCCTATGGGGTAGCTGGACTTTGTCCTACAGGGTCGTTATGAGTCAGAATCAACTGTACAGCAACAGGTTTGGTTTTGGTTTTAGGAACAGCCCCAAGTGGAGCCCACACAGAGCCTTGGACTTTTGTGGTTGTGAAGGACCCAGACGTGAAACATAAGATTCGGGAGATCATCGAGGAAGAAGAGGAGATAAACTATAGGAGAAGAATGGGAGACAGATGGGTAACAGACCTGAAGAAACTGAGGTACGACAGTTGGTGGAATTTGGGATGTTTCCCTTTATTAAAATGAAATAATTATGACTGCAGCTTCTTGGTTTTGTTAAGTGTTAAAAAGTTTGCTGCTGTCTAACCATAAAGAGAAATGAAGTTCTGATACACGCTACGACGTGGATGAATCTTGAAAACATTATGCTGAGTGAAATGGCAGACACAAAAGGACAAATATTGTATGAATCCACTTACGTGAATATCCAGAATATACAAATGCATAGAGAGGACAAAGGTTATGAGTGTTTACCAGGGGTAGGGGAGAAATGGGGACTTACTGTTTAAAGGGCACTGAGTTTCTGTTACGAGTGACGAAAACTTTAAACACGTATAGTGGTGATTTTTTCACACCATGATGAATATAATTAATGTCACTGAACAGTATACATAAAAATGGTTGAAATGGCAAATGTTTTGTTATATATAGCTTACTACAAAAACAAAAGTTTGCTTCTTCCCCTGGGAGGAAGTATGGAAGCTAAGTTAGGGCTCACCCCTGTATTGCCTTGAGCCCCAAGTTACATGGAGTGGTTAGGAACACCAGCGGGAATCAGATCTGGGATCAAATCCAGCTCTGGTGGGATCAGATATATGGTTCCCCCAAATTTTTTCCCCATCTGTAGGTTGTCTCTTCGCTTTGTTGATAAATGCCTTTGATGCACAAACGTTTTTAATTTTGATGAAATCCAATTTGTCTGTTTTATCTTTTGCTGATCTTGCTTTTGGTGTCATAGTGTGCTTTAAAGCAGTAAAGTGGCTTAGCTTGTTTCATAAACAAGGCTAAAATGGAATGAATGGTGAGCCTCTCTTGCTGATTAATAACATAATATATCGTAAGAAACAATTCCAATATACTAGGATTACATGAATATCTTTCCTTTGAATATCTATGCTAGAATGAAACTTTTGCCTAAATATATGGGATAGGGTAAAGAATAGGAAAGATAGGCTCTGAACTGGGAAAAAAAAATTAAACTCAACATTTTGTAGTTGGTACTTCAAAATATCGTCTTTGGTGATAGCACTCTCCC